TCTCATGATTTTTCAAAGCCCACTTTGACTACGATATGCAATTGAATGTTTTTTAGATTGATTTTTTTCATATTTTTTAAATAATTTTTTTTGTTTTCAAAATTTATCCTTTGGCAAGAATATATTGTAATTTTGTGTGTGCTGTTTTTCTTCTCTCACATTTCACTAGCAATAGCCAGCAATGGCCAGTTCATCCAGTGAATATGATGATTCCGATGAAGACGAAGAAGAAGAAAAAGAGGAGGCGAGAGACAAAGTTTTGGCCAAACGTATTCATTTCAACGAGGTAAGTGCATTTGAATCAAGTTCATTCATCTCATCATATATTTTTTTCATGTCATTTCTTAATTTATATTGTTTTTGTGGGTGTCATTTGTTTTATCCAGGTTCAATATCTCGTCGAAAACGATATTCGAGATTCTAAATGGGTGCGCAAAGAAATGGTCAAAAGTGAACATCGTCTCCTTGAATTTGAGTTGGAAACTCGCCAAAGTGGACTCGACGAAGTGGACTGGGATCCATTGCCCATTCAAATCATTAATGCCATTACCATTAATGGAGCGGTGAGTTTTTGACAAACATTTCAAACATGAATTTCAATTTAATCGAATTCTAAGCAATAACATATAATATTCCTTCTAACTATAGATCGAATATTTGGTGCAGTTCAGTGATGGCACACAAGCAATGGTCTCTTTTACATGCGGTCCGATGCTACAACTAATCAGTCAATTTGAAAAAGATCGCATTTATAAATCTGTTGTTCGATTGGATCGATTGAGTGAATCCGATATTCAGCGATACATTCGGCCACAAAGACAATCGCGTCCACCACCAAGTGCGCCTGTTTTTCGATATGCTAAACAAAACGAACCATCAACATCGAGCGGCATAACATCGGCAGCGAAACGAACAACAACAACAACAACAACAACTGTTGAAAACGTTCAAGGTGACACAATTGAAGTGTCCAAACAGCAAAATGTTGGTGGTGTAGTTGAACGACCACGGCGATTCAAATTCATAAATTCAGTTGATGTTCGACAGACACCCATTGTGCCAGAGCCATCAAGGTTTAGTCGTTTGAGATTGGCGCCAACAAAGCCTTTGCCGCCAACAAAGGAAGCTGATCGCCCGCCACAAAACCATTCATCGGCCGCAAAACGTATAACGCGTTCAATGACAATTGACACACGACCATCGAATCAATCGGTTCAATCGGCTCGCCCGCCACAAAACCATTCATCGGCCGCAAAACGTATAAAGCGTTCAATGACGATTGACACACGACCATCGAATCAATCGGTTCAATCGGCTCGCCAGCCACAAAACCATTCAGTCGCTCGCCGTCCGCCGCCAGTTCTACCATCAACATCAACATCAACATCGGCCGCTCAAAAAGGCACCAAAACTTATCTTTTTCATCCCAGAATTTGTCGACGACGTGGCGAACAGGCGAAAGAAAATATTGAAACGTTTACAATTAAGATGCGCCTGAATCAGTTTCTACGCAGCAATGCAAACGATGAAGGCCGTGTAGGTGGCAGCGACAACAGAAGGAAAATAAATGATGCACGAATCGCGGCAACAATTGCGCGGCGAAATGACGCTGCACGAAACCAAGGAAACAATCAAGGGAACAATGTCGATCAGAAAAGTAGGCTGATCAAAATTATAAACGACAAAGTTACTCAAATGTCAGACATGATTCGATTGGCATCATTACATTTGCACAACTCGCTGAATCGTTTGGTTGCTGATGGAACAAATGAGGAAATTCGGGCGGAATTTGGGAATGAATTCAATCCGAGGAAACATTTCTATGCCCAAAAGCAATGTCAAAGAAACCTTGATTATCCGATGAATCGTGACTTTGAGAATATGTTGAGAGAACGTCATATTCCGGTCAAACCGAAAATAAAGAATACTGGTCAGTGTATTAAATATGCGTATTTGATTTGTGCAACGAATATGTACGTAAACGTGAAGATGCATTGTTGTCGGCACATTAAAGACAAATTTTTCAAACGACTGTCAAACGATGAAGCAGCAATTGATGCCACCATGAACTATTTGAAATGTGCAGACTCAGTCGATCGTCCAGACGCATATTTGTTGGATCAGTACTTCGAACATTTACGTCCACTTTTGGACGAAGAACGTATTGACGATTACAATTACAATTACGGAGGTGAAGAACACATAATACCACGAGGGTGGTTGGAAACAACGGAGGACGAAAAAAAATACTACAAACATGTATTCGAATTGATGAATTTATTGCGATACATATGTGAACATAACGCACAAAATCCGGATAAACAATGGAAATTGTTTCGGCCCATTCCGCAGTCGCATAACAAACGGCATCACATTGCAATAGACACAGAAGCATTTATCCTGTTTACAAATCTTCTCTTTGCAATTAATGAAGGAAAGACCAATTTGAGAGCCAAAGACAATTGGAATGAACAAGAATATTGCCGGTTTTGGAATCGATTTGTGAATTTACGTAAAGTAAATCGACGAAGTCAAGAGTTCGATTATCGCTTTACGACGGACGGAGAAACCGCCTGCCTGAAAATGATTCGGAAAACGCGTGGACTCGGCAATTCGAATGCACAAGAGACGGTAACAAATAGCATAAATCATGC